TATATAGTTGTCGTCCCTTCTCTGAGGAAAATGAATCTTTTCATTCCACTGCAACGCCTTGTTGAAATTCAAGACTTCGACTTCAAAAGTGCAAGTCGAGTCCAATTCAATTTAATAGTTTCATATAAGAGAAAGAGCTCTTCACCAGATTTCAGTGTTTTCGAGGGATTCAAAGGCTTTCAAAATGTTAAAATATATGTCACGTTTTTGGCACCTGAAACTCTGAATTTAGAATTTATGACTCATTTCGACTTCTTCTGCAACGAGAGATACAAAGAAAAATTAATGCAACTTACTGTGTTTTATAATTTGGGAGGGAAATCTGAGTTAATTAAAAACACCATTGAAAAGTGCTTTTATGACGATCTTTTAGTGTTACACGTGGGAGAAACGTATATTCTTAAAGGTGTGAAAGATGCATTTCTTGCTGACACTTTTCAAAAAGTTTATTTTGATCTTCAAAGTTGTGAATTTTTGAAATCGATTTTTTTGCTGAATGTGAATTGTGAGAAATTGATTGCACCGAAAAGTGTGACGAAAATGAAAATATATATGGTCAAAGGATGTGTGAAGTTTGATGAGTGTTTGCTTGAAGTTATCAAAATTAATCATTACAGTGGAACACCTTTATTAATTAACACTGACAATTTGAGAGTTAATAAATTTGAGAGCACTTCTTCTTCAATGTTAAAGTTCTATTTAAAGGGGATTTTATATGAAGAAGTTATTTTTACAGAAAAAGTCCAAGAAACAAAATGTTGGTTTCCAGAGCCACGTAAATTCAAATATGTTAAAGAAAATGGCGAATGTACTGTATTTAAAGCACTTTGCGTGTGTATAAATAGAACGAAGGAATTTAACTCAATGTATACGAGAAAACTAGAAGGAGATGTGAGTATAATACCTTGCACGGAATTCAGTAATGAGGGAGACTATACCACTAATACAGTAGCAGAAAAACTTAAATTTGGTGATGGAAAATCATTAAAAATAAGAGAAGGAAAATACAAGGAAATTGAAATTGGAAATTTTGTGGATTTTGATATTAATAGAGCGGAAGTCGAAATTTTGAAAATTGAAAAAGTGAATCATTTTTCATTTTACAATTCTCAAATTGAAGTTTTAACAGCAAAAAACATCGATGAGTTTTCAGGAGATAAAAGGTTTATCAAAAAGTTGGAAATTTTGGAGAAGTAAAGTTGATTTATTTTAAAGTAAAATTTGTTTATATTTTATTGTTCAATATTATTATCAATATAATAAAAACAAACTGTTGTACATTAAATATAAATATTTATTATAAAGGGTTGAAAAACCCGCTTTTGATAATTTAATAGTAAAATGATAATATTATTATAGTTTTTGTATAGTTTAATATTTTCCTCTTCCTCGATTTGATTCAAAAAGGTAAACAAGAGCTTTTCTGACTTTTTCAAGATAAGTTTATTTTGTAATTAAAATTTGTGAATTACTTTTTTGTAAAGTAAAGGATTTGGAACATTAGAAAGTAAAGTAAAGATTACAAAAATAAACTTTTTTGTAACCTTATCAAACAAAACAAACCATTTATTCAATAAATTAATTGAACTAAAAAAATTTAATCGAAAATGAACAAATAAATACTTTAAGAAACTAATCATTCAATTAAACATTATTAATGTTATAATATATTGAAAAGAGCACAAAAATAAATATAAATGAATTCTGATTACTCAATAAACACAACTATTTACCACGTTGTTAACAAAAAAATGATACATAAAAATAATTGAATTTTTGTTATTGTGTTTATCTTGATTAATAAATAATAAACACCCCGTTTTAACAAGCACAATAATAAAAGTAAAATAAATAAATTAAAACTATTTTTTATCGTCAATTAAACATACCAAAGAAGGGAGGAAAAAAGGGAGCTGCTACTGAAAAAAAGAGAAGATATAAATTCACAACGACAATTAATTTAGTCTTTATAAGATTACTTTGATATATAACATTGGATTATTAATAATTGCTTGACATTGTTGAGTTTAGGTATATCAAATCAATTGTTAATTTTATTTCACACTTTAAAAACAAAAAACAACCTCATTATTTATATATTTATTTAAATGAAGACTATTAAATTATTTTCAAAAGATATTGATTAAAAGTGACAGTACTGTCTGCAATTTTTTGACCCAAATACAATGGTTATTATTTTTATTCAAAATATTTAAATTATAATTCAACATGTGTAATGTAAAATATCTTTAAGATTCTTGTATTAGACTCTTTGTAATACTTAATTAAAGAATTTAGTTGTGGAAAGAGAAACTATTTACACTTTTCTGAATCAATATTCATCTACAAGTAAAAATACACCAGTTGTAAAAGTAAAACAAACATATTAATCACTATTTAATTAACAAATGAAAGTCGTCGGAATAAAC